TTCCTCTGGGGGCTGCTTGGCCCGCCTGGTGGCCTCCCACCCATCCTGCGTGGCACAGTGCAAGCGTGACCCTGCCCAGGCAGCTGCTGCAAATCCTACAGACCACAGAGGTAGCCACGCCCTCCTCTGCACCACTGCACGTGGACATGAGCCACGCGGCCGTACGAGGGATTTCCCCGTGCTGTCGTGGGGCTTGCTGGCATCTCTCCCAGCAGTCCGGAGCCACCCCGCGGCCATCTGCCTGCCCCGTGCCTGGCTGAGAGGCTGCTCAGAGAATGTTTGTTGAGTGAGTGAAGATCCCTGTCCTAACGTTTAACGTAAGAGGAAACTGAGGCCGGAGCGGCGAGGAGAGGTGCGCAAGGGCACACAGGCAGTGCCGAGTGATGAGCGCAGGCTCCCGACCCGGGCCAGGCAAGGCGCTCCTGAACAGCAGTGCTCGGGCACCCCGGGCGCTCGGCTGCAGCTGCCCATGCCCGTCCACGCGGCCCATTCCTGGGGACAAGCCCGCAACGCCCGCCAGCCTCGCTCCGCCTCTGTGGTGCAAGGGCGAGCCCAGCTCCGCAGCGGTCCCAGACGGGGCTGTTCCCACGCTCCCCGTGGGGCTGTGCGCACAGGGCGTGCTGCCAGCCGCTGCGCACCAGGCCCGTCCCCCAGCCCTCCCAGCCTGCTCCCTGCAAGGCCGAGGAGACGGAGGCCTGGAGGCCAAGCGGCCTGCTAAAGGCCATGTCTCGGCTAGGTCCAGAGCCAGAAGTTGAATCCAGAGCCCCATGCTCCCAAGCCAGTGCTCTTCTCTTGGCCTGAGGGGGTCAAGCTTCCTTTGGAGCTGGAGTAGGAACAAGAAAAGAGGGCACAATTTTACTGAAATGCCTGGCACAGTCCCTGGGATGCACTCAGGGCCCAATAACTGTGTGTTAAGTGAGGCAAGACTGAAAGCAAAGTTACAGGGAAGCATCAGATGCAGCCACTGCCACCCTGGAGGGCAACTGGCTGTCTGCTCAGGGGGCATCCTAGCAGTGAGGAGCTCACTTTCCAAAAGCTGCTCCATGGTTGTGAAGCCTCCAAAGGTAGAACTGAAATGTTACTGGGGTTGGACAGGCTGCCTTACAATAACCAAACTCACAGAGACTGATGTATAAACCAGAAAATTATTAATTTTCTATCAGAAATAGAATTCCTGTGCAGGCTGAAGTATCAGGTGGAGGGGTGAAAAATTGTCAGCATATTCTCTCCCCATAGTCAAGTTATTTGGAAAGTCAAATTCATTCATGCATTTCTTCATTTGTTAGTCAATACACATGTATAATCAGAAGGTCACTTGGGAGCCTAGAATGAGAACAGGCTGAGTCAATAGTGCCATCACACTGATGCACTCATCCTCTGTAAGAACATGCCTCTGGCGTGGACATGCCCACCTCAGACCAGCGTGTCTCTGCCAGACCTTCGAAAAGCCACAGCCAATTCTGAGCCCCAGGCTCACCAGCCTGCTGACCGACAGTCTCCATTCAGAATGTGGCTGCCTCGGGCTTTAGTCTTGACTGGGCGTGGCATCCACTCCCTCCTTTTCAGATGACTTTGAATTTGCCTGATCCATCTTGCATTACTTGTAACTCTCGTTTTAGAGGGCATCTCAGCTCTCAGAGCACACCCCATTTTCATGACCTGGGCAACAGTGCACGGTTCCCTGCACAAATCACAAAAACCTGGCTCTGCCATTTCATGCTACAGATACTTATTGGGCACCTACTGCCACAGGCCAGGCGTGGCACAGGACACTGGGGGGATTGGTGAGCCAGACAGGCCAAAACCTGCAGCAGCCCAGGAAAGGAAATCATTGCACATTGTAGTAAGTGTCATGTGGGAAACAGACGGGCTCAGACAAGACCCTGAATTTCTTTGAGCCTCATTTTCTCAGTTTTCTCATCTGTAAAATGGGAATAAGGCAACCTACTTGGCAGAATTGTTGTGAAGCCTGAATGAGATGCCTTGTCAAGCACCTGAGACAGGGTAAGAACCTGGTCCTGTGTGGGCAGTTGGCAGGAAAGCCATTCCTTCCAAGGGTGGGGAACCCGCGGCCTTCTGATTTCAAAATTGTTCCTTTTTAAGCACCAAAGGGGGCAAGAAAAGCTTCGTCTTTCCCTGCTGCACCCCTCTTATTAATAATAACAGGATTTGTTCTGTAAAATTTGGATTCAGTCAAAAGGCTGCACGGAAGGACCTAGAATGCCACGTGTGGCCTTAAGGCCGCTGGTTCCCCACCCCAGGTGACCTTAGGAGAGAACACTTGCAGGTGCCACAGACCACGTGCAGGCCGTGTGTTAAGTAGGTCAACTCAGGTGGTCCTCCCTTCCACAGGGAGGACTTTTATCGTCCCCGCTTTCAGACAAGATGTGAAGCCGAGAGGCTGCGAGTCCTGCCGGAGACACGTCCGTCAGCAGCTCTCTAACTCAGCAGCTGGGTAGCTTGCCCAAGCGGGGGAGCCGGGATTTGAACCCGGGGAGCATGTGTACAGACCCTGAGGGGCTGCGCAGGGCTGCAGGGAAGACAGGCGGTAGCCTGGGTCGGGCACACGCCGAGCCTCGACGCGTCGGCCCCTCCTGTCACCGAAGGCCGATCTCTGGCGTGCAGAGCCGCGGGTGTGAGGCAGCGAGAGAAATGCGCCATGTGTTTCAGAGGCGAGAGCCGCAGGCGGCCGCGGTGTGGGCCCTGGGGCGGCCCAGGGAGGCCAGGCTGGGTGGGCGGCCGCGGTGTGGGCCCTGGGGCGGCCCGGGGAGGCCAGGCTGGGTGGGCGGCCGCGGTGTGGGCCCTGGGGCGGCCCGGGGAGGCCAGGCTGGGTGGGAGCTGCGGGCCCCTGTCCGCCACAGGCCTTGCGCCCCTCTTCAGTTACTGAGGAGCAGGTAGCGGGGTTGCGGCAGCTGAGCAGAGCCCTGCGGGAGCACCGATGCCCCGGTGGTGGCGGCAGCTCCTCTGGCTGGCAGCTGGGCAGGAAGCGGGTTCAGAGCTCCTTGTTTTATGGGCCAAGGCTCTCCTCTCAGAGGACACAGATGGAGCCCCGATGGTGGCCTGTGGGCACTGGCTCGGAGCCCGGCCGGTGGGGGAGACACCAAGGGGCTTGGGCTGGGATATGCCAAACCAGAGAGAGGAGGGCTCTGGGACCCCTGAAGCCAAGTGGTGGGGGGCTGGGGTACCTTCTGGAAACATCCTTGAAGGGTCTGGACCCCAGGGTGCCTGCAGTGTCCTGAGTCACTGGCCCCTGCCCTTGGGACGGGGCTTGCACTGGCCACAGACACCTGGGAGGCGGTGGCTGTGGGCCGGGCCAGCTGCCTCTTCGCCGTCTCCAAGCTGTGACAGCCGTGGCTCGCACTGCCCCGCTCGAGGCTCTGTCCAAGGATTCGTTCAGTCCGTCCTCCCAGCACCCCTTCCAGGAGGAGGCTGAGCCTGGGAGCCGTCCCAGGGCTGGCCGAGGGGTGGTGGGCTGGGCCGGGGAGCCGGTTCTTCTCAGCTGCGCTCTTTTGGGAGGAGGTGGTGTGGCCTGGTGCTCACACCTGTGGCCAGGTGGTTGGCTCAGTGACCACCTCTCATCACTGCACTCCACTGAGTCTTTACCTTCCAATTTTCTTTTCTCACCCTGGTTCGGGTGGGTGGTGGAAACTGAGCTTCAGTTGGGCCCCGACACGTGGCCCTCAGGCTGCCATCTGCTGGCATCTGCTGGTGCGCCGTGCAGCTCACCAGCGCCCACAGGTCACTCTTGCATCCACCTGGCTCCTTCCTGAGCGCCGCTGTTTCTTTCCAGCTCAGGTGTCTGTTCTAGGGGTGAGGCGGGAGGATTCCATGAGGTCAGCCTGGCCAGATCCCCACCCTGCCTTCAGCTGGGGACACGGGTCCTGCCGCCTCCCTGCCGTTAGCTGGAGACGGGCACAAGGGGAGGACAGGCACCCCTGCTCTTGGATTCCTGGGACCTCTCTGGGGTTCTTCATTCCCCTTGTCCCCCAAACCTGCCTTGAGTGGAGGGTGCAGGACACCTTGCCAGGCTCCTCCCTCCAGCCCAGAAGACCTGTCTTCTCTGGCTTCTGCCTGGACCTGGGCTGCTGATGTCCCCAAGCCAGGAGCAAGGGGCCTTTGCTGTGTGCTTTCGGTCAGGTCAGCCTCTGCCCCTGACCTTGGAGGCAGGTACTCAGGGCCAGAGGAGGAGGGAGCGGTGCCGGGCCCACCTGAAATGTGGCGCTGGGCAAGGCGGCAGCTCGCCCTGCCCACGCCTGAGGTCTGGCCCCAGGGTCTGCTCCATAGATGGGAGGTCAGAGAACTTGACACGCTGTCCCCTGCCGAGACTTCTGACCTCCTGGGACGTGAGCTTTACTGTCTTCTCTCTGAGAATGGAGAGTCACTTATAGACAAAGATACCTCGTGAACATGGTGCTTGCCCTTCCCTGCTCTAGGCCACCTGTCGAGAGGGGCTCCGTGAGGTTTGAATAGAGCCCATGTCAAATGCGCGGCATAGCACCTGTCACACACAGGCGCCCACAAGATTTGGGGCACCTTCAAGCAAAAGCCCAGTTCCAGCCTGGGTGAGTCGGGGCCTTGACAGCGCCAGCTGTGGAGGCATCTGCCCCGCAGAGCTGCGGGTGACCCAGTAAGGGGCTGCTATTTTTACCTCCTCTCGCTCTGCCGTTTCCTCCCACCTCCTGCTTTCCTCTGGGCATTAGTCAACGAGCTTTATAAATGGGCTTCAGAAATGGAATCTGGTCTAAATGAGGAGCAGCGAGCCTCAGGTGATTGAAAAACTGTCCCTCAAAGCCCTGGACTCCCCTAATTCATTAAATCAGCCACCTCCAAGCCTGCGCCACCAAAGATCTAGGCAATTTTCTCTTTAGCGCTTGCCTTTTATGAAACTTAGCCTGTTTCCCCAAATGTTTACATGGCAGAGAGGCAGGGCTCCCGGAGCGCAGGGCCGGCTGTCTCTCCCCTGCCGCGCAGAATAACTGCTGAGATGTCTTCTCTTCCAGGTGAGCCGTCACCTGGACATCGAGTCTGAGATGACAGCGGAGCTGAGAGGTCAGTGTGACGCTCGGTTAGGGAGAGTCTGTGTGCTCAGGAGAGCGCGGGCTGCACTGCCACCGCCCCCACTGCAGGGACGAGGACCGCACCCTCCCCTCCCTTCTGCGGGGAGCCTGCTCCTGGCACAGCCCAAGGAGAACAGCTGGGCAAATAGAAAAGTGTTCAGATTCTCAGCCCTGAGGTTTCCCTCTGGGAAGCTCATCCCAAGTAAATAATCCTGAGTGTGGAAGAGCTCTGTGGACAGGCGTGTTCATGCCAGTGCAATTGGAAAAAACCTCAGTACATGTTGTAATTAACTCCTATAATCAAAGAAATATAATGTAGTCACTAAAATATTGCTAATAAGCACCATCCAACAGCATGCAAATTATGTCATTCTGCTAGGTTAATAAATGGCAGGATGTGGAATGTTTCATATGGTCGCAGTTATGATCAGCAACCTAGGCTAGGAAATAAACTATTCATAAAAATATTAACTGCGGTTACTCAGAAAGGTGGAAACATGAGTGATTTTTTGGTGTTCTATTATTTTTATTATTAAGAAAATTAAGTTGCTACCTGACCAGATGGAATTTTCCTGGGCCATGTTAGTTATATTGTCAGCGTCGGGATGGGGCCCAGCTTCTGAGGATTTGTTTAGTGTTGTGTTGATGTCAGGCGCTCACAGAAATGTGGGGGACGTATGGGTAGCGTTACCTTTAAGACTGAGCTGCTCTTGAGACCTGTTCGTCTGGGGTTCTTATTACTAGACTCCACTCTTGTCAGCTGTGTGATCTTAGACGAGTTAATTAACTTCTCTGAGCCACAGACTCTTAATTTTAAAAGGAGGATAATGTGACTTTCCTGGGGAGTGTCCAGTACCTGGCCCACAGCAGGGTGTTGACTCAAGAAGAGAGGCCTGCTCTCAGTCTTCAGCTGGCCGGGGTGGGCCTGCCCTTCTACCCCGCAGCCTGACCCAACACCTGTTTCCACAGCTGGGAGGCGGAAATACTGGCCGGGCTGCGAGCCTCCTCCCTCTGTGGGCTCAGCTTCGTCCCCTCGCGGAGGGGATGTGCCAGGTGGACTGAGTTCTGTTGATCCGTCCCACATTTCCGAGGGCCCCCACGCAGGGACTCGGGCGCCGCGGGGCGCTTGGCACAGGCGGCTCCGAGTGTGGCGGCCCGCGCTGAACGCGCTCGCGGCCAGGGCCAGGGGCAGGCGGTGTCCAGGACACCCGAGACCATGGGGCACCCAGAGGGTGTGGATGGGGCGCCGGGAGAGTTCAGGGCCTCTGAGAGGGCCTCTGTCCTGGGCAGGGACCTAGGAATGACCAGGGGACAGCCGAGAATGAGGAAGGTTGTCATGAGGCTCAGAGACTTGCTTGCCATTAGAATGGATTCCTGGCTTGCGGCGTGACTGAGAGTTTTCTCTTCCAGCTCAGAAATGTCTCTTGAATCCTGGAGTGGACAGCGACCTCCCAAGCTCGCCGTGGCCAGAGCCCTGGCCGATTCCCGAGGCCCAGTTGCCGGCACAGACAGTCCAGCTGGATTCTCTGAAGGTGAGGGGGCACCAGGCACCTAATTCCCTAAGTAAGCTTTTTTATTAAAAGCACAACACACAGACAAGGGGACAACTCACAAGTGTACAGGTAATGAATCGTCCGAGTGGAGCGCCCACAAACCCACCCCAGGGCCAGAGACAGGATGCAGCCAGCTCGCAGCACCTGGTGTCACCTCTCAGTCTTTCTAGCATCTATTTTGAATTTTTGTTTGTGGCCAAATCACGTGTTCTAGGCCTGTTGTCGTGAGTGCTGGCCGCCGTGTGTGGAGACCTGGAGAACCCGGTCCTGCCCGGCACCCCCCCGACCCCGCCCCTGGCTCTGAGCAGGACAGTCCTCCAGCAGCGAGGCTCAGCGACGAGGAGGTCGCTGGCCCGCTGGCCCCTCGCACTCCCGGGCGCGGAGCCGGCGCTGTTTTGGGCGATTCCCCGGCGGGCTCTTGACGCGCTCCGCTGCGTCTGCCTGGGACTCGGGAAGCCCGGGCCAGGTGCCCTGCTTGGCTTCTCTCTTGCTTTCAGTCCCACAAGTGCTCGCAGCTTTGGTACTGTCACACGGTCCAAACAAATGTTTTATTATATCTTCCCAGCTTTTCTAGTTGTGCTCACCACAGCTTTGGTCCAAAATGCCCGAATCGGCCGCTGGCAGAGCAGCACGCCTCTCTGTCTTCCCAGAGAGACTTACTTGACTCGTGTGCTTTGGAGTCTCACGATGCCAGCGTGTCAATTCCACCATTTTTGTTTGCATGCTTTGCGCTGCGCTCCCCGCCCCGGGCTGCAGCGGGCACCGGAGCCTGGCCTGTTAGGAGCTGGGCTGAGCAGCAGTGGTGAGCGGGCAGCGAAGCTCCGCCTGCACTCAGCCGCCCGCCCTCGCGTCACCGCCCAGCCCGCCTGCTGCCGGGTCAGCAGGCCCCTGCTGGAAGCTGCCCTCCTTGTGGGGATCCGATGCCTGGCGGTCGGAAGTGGAGCTGGGGCGGCGACACTGGCGCTGGGGAGCGGCTGCAAACAGATCAGCAGCGGCAGAGAGGTCTGACTGCACAGTGATGTGAGGCGCTTGCACCCCAACACCATCGCCCCACGCCCACCCTGGTCTGTGGAGAAGCTGTCTTCCATGAAACGGGTCCCTGGTGCCAAAACGGTTGGGGACGGCTGCCTTACACAGCACCTGGCCCATAGGGGACCTTCTCTTAGGGTGTGAAGTCCACATGCAAGTGAGGAAGATTTCTCAGACAAAGTGGCGGATAGATAGAAATGCAGTTTACTTGCTCTCTGTCCGAGGAGAGAGGGCACAGGCCAGCAGTAAGGACAGGTGACGCCAAGCGACTGTGACTAGTTATTAGAGCAGGCAGGGGCACATATGACTGCAGCCCGATTAGCAAAAGACAGCGAAAGACTGCTGTGTTGGCCTTTTCTGCTCCTCACGTGACAGATTGATAACAGAAATTAATTTCTTCTTTCCTCTTGATAACGGGGGGCATCCAGTGCCTGTCTCTTCTTGAGGAAGTGAGGAGAGTCTGCACCCCCCTGTGTGCTCAAGAACTTTTTCAAGGCTGTTAAACAGTACCCCAAAACACCTTTCCCAGATAGTAACTGGTAGTGTCACTTTCCCTTCTTTTATTTGCTTAGCTTCTTCTAATTGCTAGGCAAACATCTGTGTAGGAGAGAGATTCTTGTTACGAACCTTAGGAACAGAGTTTGTACCACTCTAAGTGCCTGTCAGTTAAAAATTTATTTTTCTTGTTAGCCCCTTAGTAAGACTGTCCTTCCACTTTCCAAAACACCTGTTGGGTGAATAGTGAGAGGGACAGGGGCGCTCGAGCTCACTGAAATCTACAAGGTCACGCAGTGCCTCGCCCAGTCCCCCACCCCACCCCCCACCCCCATGCTGCTGCGTCTTGCCCCTAGCCTTGCCCCCAGCCTTGCCCCCAGCCTTGCCCCCAGCCTTGGCCCCAGCCTTGCCCCCAGCCTTGCCCCCAGCCTTGCCCCCAGCCTTGCCCCCAGCCTTGGCCCAGCCTTGTCCCCAGCCTGGCCCCAGCCTTGCCCCCAGCCTTGGCTCTGCTCAGTTGTCCTGGCATCTGGCAGCAGAGCCGCGTATCCGGGCTGGGGTGGGGAAGAGCTTCTTGTGGTGACAGGGAACTTGTTAAATAACCACACTAGGGGATTAGCGACCTGCAAGCAGAATGAGGGCGTGGAGAGTTGAAGGGCAGTAACCAAATGTGTCACATGTCGCAGTCACATGAGTGTACGGATGAGCTTACGGGAAAAGGGAGGGCAGCCCAAGAACACACCAAATCATCCTGCCAGGCTGGGACCCCTTTAGCGAATGAAGAATGTTGAGGCCTCCCAGCAGACCCTGATCCCGTCACTCCCCACGTAAGCCAGTGCCGCGCCCCCGTCGGCATGGGCAGCGGGAGCCACGCCGGCTCCGGAGCACGTGGCCTGGTTTCAAACGTCGGCTAAGCCGCTGTTTGCTGTGTGCCTTGGGCAAGTCACTGGGCCTCTCTGGGCTGCTGTTTCCTCATGTACACAATGGGATAACAAAGATATGAATAATACCTACCTCCTTGATATTTTGTAAAGATTAAATGCACAGTGCTCAGAACAATGTGTGCACATGAGAGCTCAGTAGTTGTGCACTGTCACAGGTCGGCCACATGAAATCGCCAATTTATGCTGCCCTTTCCTTCAAAAATAGTATTTTCATGGTTTAAGCTATCATTATTATCACCAGATAAAGCCCAGACTTCTGAAGTTGGTGCTTGCATTCTGCAATCTGCCAGGGATGACCTTCAGTGTTTAACACAAGCAGACCCTGCTCCTCCCGCATGTCGGGATCAGACCCTCCTCCTCGGGCCGTGCTGGCTCCTCAGTGTGCAGTCTGCCCTCCCCCCGGCCCTCAGCGCCTGCGCTGGCCGCACCTGCCGCCGGCTCTGCAGCACTGTGTTTATGTGCCTGCCGCTCCCACTACACCGAGCGCCTTGAGGGCAGGGACCAGGTCAGGCCTGGCGCACGAGGAGATGCCCGGTGGTCACTGCATCCCCTCCTCTGCTGTCCCGCCTCCTTCCCAGCCGGCTGCCACTGCTGGGGCAGCCGGTGTTACGGCAATGTGTACAGCTGGTGTTGCAGCTCTCGCTCAGCGCCTCGCCGGGGAAAGAACCCAGCAGCACACGAAGAGTAGGAAAACAGTCTTTCTCCCAGCAGGCTCAACCGACTTCTGACCCCCCTTCCTTGGTCTCCTCCTTATACCCTTGGTAGGACTCAAAAAGCGTCCAATCAACTACAAGTTTTAATATCCAATCAGCAACAGTGGGATTCAGAAAGTATCCAATCAAGATGGCGCAGCCCGCTTGGCTGGAGGACCGGAGCAGGCGGCCCAGCACTGAGTGTGGGCGGACAGCAGTCGTCCGCACTCGCGGCCAGCCCTAGGCGCGGCCAGCCCTAGGCACACCCGCCCGGCCTCCAGCGGCCCCGTGCAGTGCTGGCTCGCAGGGGTGCGGAGGTGGCGAGTAGCCGCGTCCCGGCGCCTGATGGTTTTCCCTGTCAACGGCGCTGTGTGCGTGGAGCTGCTGCAGGTGGTGGGAGGCGTGCCCTGCAGGTGGCGGGAGGCATGCCCTGCAGGTGGCGGGAGGCGTGCCCTGCAGGTGGCGGGGAGGCGTGCCCTGCAGGTGGCGGGAGGCGTGCCCTGCAGGTGGTGGGGAGGCGTGCCCTGCAGATGATGGGAGGCGTGCCCTGCAGGTGGTGGGAGGCGTGCCCTGCAGGTGGTGGGAGGCGTGCCCTGCAGGTGGTGGGAGGCGTGCCCTGCAGGTGGTGGGAGGCGTGCCCTGTCCACACCCTGCCTGGCCAGGCACAGCCGCACCAGTCACGCCTCAGAGAGGGGCGCAAAAAGGCACAGGCGGGACTCGCTCGTCACCAGGCGAGGAGCAAGGTGCCGTTGTCAGGAAGGGTGCTTAGTGGGTGTGAGCTGGGCATGAGGGACAACAGTGTGCGACAGTGGCTGGTGAGTGGACAGAGAGTGGACTGGACATCAGAGCGCTTGGGTCTGGACGCGCAGCCAGCCACATCAGAGCTACGTGGCATTAGGCCCGGTTTTTAGAGTCTGGAAGTTTAGCTGTTCCCTTATCTGTGAAGTGGGCCGATGATAGCTCCTGGGAGAATGAAGTGAATACAAATGACACAGCAGCTTTGAGAGAGCCGGGGGAGTCTGGGCGTGAGGCTGGCAGCCAGTTGACACCCTTCTCCCTTACAGGGAGGGTCATTTTCTCTTGTCACTGGTGGGAAAAGGTGTGGAGGACATCCGCCCTACAGGACACCCGCCAGTGACGGCTCTCAGGTGCCTGTCAGATGGCATGGCGAGAGAGCCTTACCCTGCCCAGCCTCGGTTTCCTCATCCAAAATGCAGCGATGTAGCCGGGCATGGTGGCGAATGCCTGTAGTCCCAGCTACTCGGGAGGCTGAGGCAGGAGGATTGCTTGAGCCAGGAGTTTGAGGTTGCTGTGAGCTAGGCTGACGCCATGGCACTCACTCTAGCCTGGGCAACAAAGTGAGACTCTGTTTCAAAAAAAAAAATAAAATAAAATAAAAAAATAAAATAAAACAAAATGCAGCGATGACAGCATGTGTCTCACTGAACTGTAGCAGGGAAGCAAGCCCACGCCCTAGCAGCATTTGGTGCCAGGCACAGAAAGAGCTCAGTAAATGCTAAGTATCGCTGTCCTCTCTTCCTTCGGTAATGTGTGTGATCAGAGAGCTTTTGTAAACATGTACAAGCAGAAACGATTTCGTTGTCCTCTTGCCTGCAGCTTCCCCTGCTATCGGGGCCCACGCTTGATCCTGGACTGTGCCTGGCAGCCGTCACTGTGGAACCAGGACCCCCTGCACAGCAGCTGCAGGAGACGGGTGGAATGCCCTGCCCTGGCCTCCGGGCCGACAGCCCCGCAGCGCCTGCTGAGCTCCTGAGCCCGGGGAGGATCCTGGCTTTTCACCAAGGGCTTAGACAAAGCATTCGCAGCAATTCCCAGGTCAATAAATCACCGCTGGAGTTATAAATTTAACAGGACCACTCATCCTCCGGGGCCATTTCACATACTCCATAAATATTTGAAGCAGAACCTTCGGAGAGTGCTTTAAGAAATTGGTAGCAATCAAAACCTTCATTTAGTGGCAAGCGGTTTTGCCTTCGGCTTAGGGATTTTTGTTCGACGTCAGAGCTTGGGAGAAACACCGGGCTTGCAAATTCTGAGCAGTTTGGCTTTTGCAAGTGTCAAGGTAGCAAAGGAAATATTTAATGTACCAAAACCTTTTAAACGAGTAGACTGGGCACAGTTTTAGCCCCCACAGCAAAATTTGGCCGTGTCTGGAGAATTTTTTGGCTGTCACAACTGAGATGCTGCTCCTGGCACCCCGTGGCAGAGGCCAGGGGTGTGCAGAATGTCCCCGTCACCCAGGCAGCCTCCTACGGTGGAGTTACTCAGCCCAGGTGTCAACAGTGCCCAGGCTGAGCGCCCGGGACTGATCTAGGAGCCTGGACATGGTCAGCGTGGAGAATTTTTGTTATTTTCCTTCCCCTGGGGCCCTCACCATATTTTAAAAGATTTTAATCTGCTAAATGAAATGCCTAATTTGAAGAATTATATATTTTACATTTAGAAACATTAAAACCAACCAGAACTTTCTAATCAGTCCATTCACTCCCAATCCACCATATGCCAGGCAGCGTGGTGTGTGGCAAAAAGAGATCAGCCAATGCTGGTCCCTGACCTGGCGACCTCGGGCTTTGGGAGAGACACACGTGTAAGTAAATTGTCCTGCAGTCAGTTGCTACGTGTGCTGCGAGCGATGGGATGTAGGGCGGGGTTGGCTCTGTATGGCGTAGGGCAGTCAGAAGCCGGCCACAGAAGAATGGGGAGCATGGTCCCATGGGGCCGGGCGCCGCGGAGCAGGACACAGCCTGCACAAAGGCCCTGGGCATGAAGCTGGGCTGTGGCCGGGCCACTGGGGGAGGAGCGGGCACAGCAGCCCCTGCCAAGCCGGCTGCAGGCTGCCACTGCCCTGTTCCCAGCCAGTGCCCCATTGTTCCCCGAGAACAGACTCAGGTGTGCCACCAGGAGCGGAAGAAGGACGCCTCCCTCCTGGGGGCAGCCCACCCAAACAGTGAGTCCAGGGGACTTGGACCATACCTGCCAGGCCTGCCCCGGCACACTGAGCAGAGACTCTTTGGGGAAGGGCTGTCGAGGGTTCGAGGGAAGGTCAGCACCGCCGACCCCGCTCTCCACCCACCCGGAGGTGGCCGTCCGTTCATGGAAGGACAGGGGGGGACAAGGACACGGAACCTGGGGCTCCCGGAAAGTAGACCCAGTCTGCAGATTTTATGTGAATCTATCTTAATTTTTGTTTGAAATGAAAATTGCAGAGAGTCCCCGTGTGCCCTCCACTTGGCTTCCCGTGACACTGCCTCCCGTGACTTACCACGGCAAGAAACTAGTGCGTTTTGTTTTGAGAACAATTGGGCAGCCACTGGAACATCAGAAAGGCAGTGTCACCGCCGAGCTGCCTCTGTGTAAGCCAGCCTGCGGCTTCTAGCGGGCAGCAGGCTCTGGCCCGCACTCGCACGGCTCACCAGCCGCCCTGCCCGCCGCCCTACACCGGCTAGCGCTAGCGGCGGCTGCCGCGCAGGTGTCTGGCCAGGTGCTGGGAAGCGAAGCTTGGCGATGCTGTCTTCTCCCTCTGCGGGGACCCTGCTACCGCAGCCGCGGGTCCCCAGTTGGAAGCCACTGCTGCGATCGCGTTTGCTGTGTCAGCCTCCACAGTGCCACGCCGTCTCCAGCTGGGAGGCGCTGCCCACTTCTGTGTCGCCCTTCCCCCTTTAGTTTGGGACAACGTCATGAGCTTCAGCATCAGGGACGTGATGATGGAGAGAAGACAGAGCCCTTGCACGGCTGCAGGACACCGCGCAGCGCAGGTTCTGTCTCCAGGACACTCCCGAGAGGCCCAGACGCTTGCGCCCCTGCTGCCACAGCACATCTGGGCCTGGGCAGAGACGAAATCCATTAAGGAAGCCAAGGCAATCTTTGCAGCTTAACCCATAATAAATTCCATAATAAAATTCCAAAATAAATCATCTTCCTGAGCTGGAAGCCACTCGCTACCCTGGGCCATGGAGTCCTGGCTGGGCTGGCGCTTTGCGTTGGCACAGGCTTTGTGCCTGGACTCCTGGGGGCACTTTTGCAATGGCGGATGGCAGACTCCTACACTCTCCTTGCCTGGAGTGTTAGACCCCAGCCCTTGGAAGGGCACAAGGTGGCCCTCTGCCACCCCCTCAGTGGACTGGATGTGGCATGGCCGGGCCAGCGCAGGACCTGCTTGGACCACCCAGTGCGGTCTGGCAGGAACTTGGCATGCGGGAGCCGGCCTCTGCCGCCTCCCACACAGGCAACAACACTGTGAGCGAGCCCGAGGCCTCTGGAGACTGGCCAGATGGGCCAGCCTGGCGCCGTGGCAGAAAACAATTTGTCAAATGGACTGTCTGCAAGCAACAATGGTGCCCTTCCCTGCAGCTGGAGCCCTAAACCTAGTGAGGTAAATGCACCCCTCCCCCATGCACAAAAGGGCCCCACCTGGGCTTTTAGGCAAATCAGATGAGAGGTTGGCTTGGCACCTGGCCAAGCAGTGGAAGTGTTAAGTGCAGTCCTTCTCCCCGCAGCCGATTCATTTTCCTGCTCCTTGGAGGCGTTTTGCTGGAGGCGCAGAGGTGTTCTGTCTGACACATGCTTCCCTGAGCACCTGCTGGGACAGGTGAAGGGCTGGGGGCTGGTCACCCGGGTCTCACTCTAGATCCTCGTCCTCCAGGCTCCACTGTGACCAAGTATCGCCAGCAGGGAGAGAACAGGCCCCAGGGGCCTCAGAGTGGGCAGCTGGCCAAAAGATAGTCAGGGAGGGCTTCCTGGAGGAAGTGAGACTGAGCTGAGCCAGGAGATGAGCAGGGATCAGCCAGGAAGGGGAGACCTAGGAGGGAGGCGCAGGCATGAGGGAAAGCCCCAGCCCGGGGTAGCATTGGGTTAGGGCTGGAGGTAGAGATGCCGCCTTTCTGTGACCTTGTGGTAGAAGGAACCAGAAGGGAGTTGTCGCCTTTTTTGCAATCCTACTGTGACTTTCTTGTTCCATTTAAAAAATGTTTTGATAGAGATGATACCTTTGTATTCTTCAAAATTCAAAGCCACAGAGTTCACACGAAGCCCTTCCTGCGCCTGCTCCCAGCCCTCCCCAGAGACAGGCACGCCGCGCCCAGCGAGGCGGCGGCGCCCTGCGCTGTGCTCTGCTTCTCCCTCAGCACATCTTGGTGATGGCTCTGTAGCAGGACATAAACTTCTCATCGTTCTACACGTTTTCCTGCAGTTTCATTGGGCCCCACTGTGGATTTAACCAATGTCCTCCGACGTATGGGAGTTGCTGGATCTCTCGCTGTTAAAACCAGCAGTGGCATGAAAATCCTTGCACGCATGTCGCTTCACACGCTTGGATGCAGTGAGGCGGGACCGTGCTGCGCCAGGCCGAGCACGTGAGAGTGCTGGGAGCGCGGCCCGCACCGCGCGGCTTGGCGTGCAGGGCGTGCCGTCCAGGTGTGCGTGAGTGACGCCAGGCGTCCACACAACGGCGAAGCCGTTTCTCAGACGTGGCCCCGCGTCAGGAGAAGTGTGACTGTTTATCTGAGGGCAAATCCCCGAAAAAGGAAACGCGGGCAGAGGCCATGCGCTTGGCGTTGCGCCGCCCTGGCCAGCCCCTGCCCGCCCCTCAGAGGCGCAGCCGCTCCTGCTCCCGGCCGCGAAGCGTGGGCGCCTGCGCGGCGCGGATGGGCGCAGCGTCCCAGGCGGCCGTGCTCAGGGCGCTCGGAGCCGGGCCGGGGTCGGTAGGCGGCATTCGCTCCCCGCCCCACCCGGGCCGCCCTGCTTCCGTCCGCAAGTGCTCTCGCGGGCAGGAGGGAACGCTGGCGGCAGAGAGCTGGCCACTAGGGCGGCCGGAGAGCGCGGGCTGACGGGCGCTGGGCGGCGGGGCTGAGGGCGGAGAAGCAGGCCTGTGGGCTGAGCAGCCCCCATGCGCTGCGGCCTGGAGCCAGGGCCCTGGAGGCCGGGCTCCCGCGGGCAGGTGGACCCCGCCGCCGTGGTGTCGCCTTGTTGCCGCAGTGGTACAGCCAGTGTCACAGCTCTTGACCGGGGAGACGGGGTGGCACCCGAAGTCGGAGAACAGCCTTTATTCAGCCAGCAGGCTCGGCACCGCCAGCGCTACAGCTCTCTTCCCGTCTTCAGAGCTTCTGCCTGTCCTCCTGCTTTTATACCCTTGGTAGGGCTCAAAAAGCGTCCAATCAACAACAAGCTTTAACATCCAATCAAAAACAGTGGGATTCAAAGCGTGGCCGGAAACAGGCGCAGGCGGGCCGGGCGGCTCTGCCCCGGGCGGCTCTGCCCCGGGCGGCTCTGCCCCGGGCGGCTCTGCCCCGGGCGGCTCTGCCCCGGGCGGCTCTGCCCCGGGCTGCCCCGGGCGGTCTGGACAGTGCGGAGCTCTGACAGCTTGGCGCGGACATGCGGAGCGCCGGCCCGACATTCCGTATCAGCCTCGCCACACGGAGACGTGCAGCGTCCCACGGCCAGTGCGCGGCCGTGGCATTCACAGCCAGGCGTGCGGCCTCGCCCTCGCCCTGCAGTGCCGGGAGGCAGGCAGCCTGGGAGTGAAGCACGCCGCTGCCTGGCTTGGTTCCGGCTGTCCCTCACCTTGCCGCTCTGTGCCTCAGTGTCCTGCTCTGAAATGGGGCTGCCGGCCCAGGGGCTGCGCGAGAGCGGGTGTCTGAGCACCGGGAGAGGCCGGCGGGCCCCAGCTCCAGCGCTGCCGCTGCTCCGTCCCGGCCGTGGCGGTGGGTAGCAGGGCTCGGCCGCTGACGCTTGCAGCCGAGGCACTCTCGAGGCTCACGGCAGGCCTGGCAGTGGCGTGATGCTGGCGCTCAGGGGCTCTGTACGCGGCAGCTCAGCGGGGATTTTCCAGGAGCCGTGACTGGCGGCCCAGCTCCTTGTGGACACCAAGAGTAACAGGGGCCCAGTCCGCGCGGCTGTCGCGCGTGGCCAGGACTCTCCCCGCCAGCATCTCCGGTCCTTTGCACTGGCCCACTTCTGGAAAAGCCTTTCCCTTGGAGTTGAGCGCGATTTTGTTCGGGCCCTTCAGGAGGTGAGTGGGGCTGGGCGTCCAAGCTTGTTTATGTGGAATAATGCACCTTCCTGCTGCTTGTGCTGTAAACCAGCGGGTCAAGGGGACTCGGGCGCCAAAATCCAATCAGCCAAAATTTTCTGTTCCTGCGCAGGGGCTGTCACCACTGCATGCAAGGAGGGAGAGCAGCCCCGCACTTTCTCAGTCTGGGGCTTCATACCCTGGGCTGACCCTGCACTGCAGAGCAAGCCGGTCACAGGAGCCCAGATTTGCAGTTAGCTACATACATCCTCTTGTAAGTTGCCGATCAGCTACACTCTCTTGCAGAACATTTTGTTTTTAACATAAAGTTTCCCTCAACCACCCCTCCCACCTCCCATCCCATACTAAGTATTGTCTAGCTGGTAATTTTCCTTTTCCACACTTGGGCCAGGACTTTCTACTTCATTTGACCCTTTTTAAATCTAACGTGTCTGACATCGGCAGGCCTGCGTGTTCCAGAGCCCCCTCCCCAGGCGCTGTCTGTGTATGCTGGGGGCCAGGCCACTGGGTGTGCCGCAGGGACTCAGCCCCTCTCTGCCCAGCCCCTCCCCCTCCGGGCTTCTCTCCCCCCCTCGGGGCACATCAACTCTTCCTTCTGCTGCTCAGTCTCAGCCAAGCTCTCCCCGGGGCCCTCCAGCCCTCCAGAGTCAAGCTCCAAGGATGGCAGCCCCTCTGCTAGCAGCCAAGAGTAATTTAACCTCAGGAAGCAGGTTGGGCTGGGGGGCGAGGGGGGCTGGGCTCTCTTGCCTCCAACTGCTGCTGTCCCCCTTCGGTCTCTTGTGTTTGCTACACTGGGCCGGACCCCAGACCAGTTCCATCTCGGCACCTGATAAGCACAGGGGAACGTAGCTGGTACACGGGGAAGCCCTGGAGTGGACAGAAGGCTGGAGTAGCCAACCCCTGTTGTTAGGGACAGCTCATTCACTGAACGCAGGACTGACTGCTGGTGCTCTCCTCCTCGCAGCCAAGCAGGCAGAGCAGGATCGTAGCAGCCCTGCTGGGCAGGGCTATTGTCAGGCAGCAGGAGCCAAACAGGCACCAACTCCACCCTTCCAGGGCCACTTGTCTGGTTGCTCAGGTTGTGTACTAAGCAAGGCATGGGGTCCAAGAGCAAAAGCGGATGAAATCCAGCCCTGCACTCTCCTTGCCAAGGGCGATGCCTGTCTGGAGAAAGCGGTGCCCTTCACGTGTTCCCACAGAGGCTGCCTCGGCTGTCCTGGCCAAGCTCCGCCAGCTGTGTCCACCTGGAGGGGCATCTTTTCGTGACTCTGTACAGAAGCTCAGTGTGGCCCCAGTGGTTCTGCCGGCTCAGAGCCAGAAGTGCCGATCAGCAGTGTGAGGTCACCAGTTCATGGAGGGGTCCCAGAGGCCACTCCAGTCCAGCCGTCCAGCTTGCAAAGTGCTGGGGCGGGGTGGGGGCGGGGTGGGGGCGGGGCTGTGTATCCGGCCCGTGCACCCTCCGGCCTTGCTCACGAGCCTGGAGCAGTGCTGCAGTGGGGTCATGGATGGCTAGGGTATTCACTGGCATGATTAGGATGCCTCCACCCACCAAGGCCACTGAGTCCTTCCTTTTATCCCCAAATAGTCGGAGTACCCGCCTCCTGGGTCCTCTTAAGGATTGACTGCTACTCCAACCCAGCCCAGCGCGGGGTGAGAGGTTAGTGCTGGATAAGGGATCAGTCACAGGGCTGCTGCTTAATAGCTGTGTGTTTCTGGGTGAGTCATTTAACCTCTCTGTGCAAATCCACTATAGCTGCAATATTACCACATAACAAACCAGCCCAACCCGGTGACTCCCAAGCATTTATTCTCACCCACTCGGGTCTGCAGGTCCACCCAGGTTCTGCTGGGCTCAGCTGGGCGGTTCTGCTCCAGGCCGAGGGCTGGGATTCAGGCCTGCTGTGTGCCGGAGTAGGTCCCATGCAGGGGTTGAACCTCAGTGGGGAGGGGACGCAGACTCCTCTGCTCCCAACGAGGTCG